TCTCTGAGGGATTTTGTTTTGTTTGGGGTTTAGGGGTTTAGGGGTTTAGGGGTTTGGGGTTTAGGGTTTAGGGGTTTAGGGGTTTAGGGGTTTGGGGTTTAGGGTTTAGGGTTTAGGGGTTTAGGGTTGCATATAGTATATCCCCAGGGGATGAATAATAATATTATCGTTTTTCGGGTTCCAAGGGCGGCTAAGAACTTAGGGTGGGTCCATGTGCCTTACAGGGTTGCCATAAAGCGCAAGGTTTCAACCTGGGTGCCAATACGGGTTTAGGGTGTGGGGTATCCCTGCCTAAAGGATCATGGGCTCAGTAAGCAGGGTTCCTAATAGGGTTTAGGGTTCAAGGGTTCCTTTAAGGGACCTATCTGGATCCTATAAGAGGGGCTCTGGGGTATAAGGATCCATGTACTCACATAGTATATACCTTGGCCCCAAAGCACCAATAAAGAGAGTACTGTCACACCAAAGTATGAAAAATAAGAGCACCGAAACCCTCAGTGTCTTCAAAGTGTAGTCGTGCATAAGTGCCTAAGGGTGTCTATAGGAGTTTCGGGTTTGGAGTTCAATGTGGTTGAAGTGTCTTTGTGAATGCTTCCGGAAATTCTACGCATGGTTTGTCGGGCGGCTTGTGGAGTACGGTGGTTGCCCGCTCTAGGATATTGCTGGTTGAACTACGCATACCCCAATTAAGGTTGATGATGAAGCCGCTGAACCCTAAAACCTATAGCCTCCACTCCAAACCCCTACTGCAACCCTAAACCCTAAACCGTTCCCCCAAAACGTATACCCTCCGCTCCAAACCTCTATTTTAACCCTAACCCTAAACCCTAAAACGTCCTTAAGGGAGGGGATTATTCTCCCTAGTGCTCCCTTTAGGTTCCCTCATACCCTCCTCCCTTAGAGCTCCCACCCGACAAGACAAGGGATCCCATAAGGGGTAGTTCTCTAAATTAGGGTCCGTTTTTAGATCCACAGTATAGCACGGCACCCTTATAAAAGGGACCCTAAAAGGGGCCCTAAAAGGGGCCCTAAAAATGAAAACCACCCATATAGTAGTACTACTTCCAACTTGCTACCCTTCATAATCAAGGAGTAAACAAGTTAAGCTGGAGTTCTTCCCCCCTAATTAAGCAAGGCTTCTAGCACTTCATAATCATATACTCTCAGAAACCATCCCAAGCCAAAAGCAACTACGTATGTAGTATCCTAAACCCAAGCACCTAATTCTTGTGCCTTTTTTCGGACCGTTAAGATTCACTGAGTCTGAGAGATATTGGGGGATCTCTGGGAAAGCCTGGAGTAGAGCCTTCATCGAGCCCTGCAAGCCGGCGTCTGATAAAGAAGCGGATCTAAGCCTTTCCGGGAAGACCTAATCCTTTTGGGGAGGACCTAATCCTTTTCGGGAAGACCCTATGAGACTCGGGAAAGCCTTCAGCAAATGGGGGAACCCGAAAATAGGGGACCCTAAAAAAAGTACCCTAAATAGTAGGATGCTTATTATAAGGACCCCAACATAAGGTACCCTAATTTTCGGAAACCCCCAAATAGACAACAGCTCATAGCGAGGCAAAGAACCTCCGAAGATGCCCCAAGCCCTAAGCCCGAAACCCTGTAAACCCTAAACCCCTACCTGTAGTCTCCATTGTAGTTCCTTTTTGGGGATACCTTATAAAATCCTTAGTATATAATTGGTTAAACCCAAAAAATGGAACTACAATGGAGACTACAGGTAGACCCTAAACCCCAAGTTTAATTGCGCCCTGCCGAAGGATTGCCTGGAGTTGCCTGCATCCTGGCAGCAGTGGGTGCGTTAGGCTACACCCCCAAACAAACCAAGCAAAAGAAAAAGCATCTAGAGAGACCCGTAAACCTCAAACCGTTGTGACACCTTATTACCCGTGTAGAACCCTTATGATTCCCTTATCAGATCCCTTTGGATACCGTTATAGAAACCGTTATGGTAGCCTCATGGCAGCCCTAAATGCTAAGCATCTGATCCCTAAAACCTAAAGCTCCGAGACCGTATAAGCCCTAAACCACTAAAGTCCTAAACCCCTGGATCCCGAAACAGTACCTTAACCCTAAACCCTTAACCCAAAACCCTAAACCCTAAACCCTAAACCAATGAAAGCGCGCCACTCAGGACACGCTGCTTCGGAAGGCTGAGGCCCTGGTTGAATGCTCCAGTCCCAGATGGTAGTCGGGAGCCCCCTTAAAGGGGACCACGGTTAGGGTTTAGGGTTTAGGGTTTAGGGGGGACCCTTCATAACCATTCTTATGGCTCTCTTAGGAAGGACCTGATTGAAAGGGTTTATATCCCCAAGGGTCCCCCTAATCCTAACTCTTCTCCTGAAAATCTAGAAAGAAAGTAGGATTTAGGGTTGAGAGTGTATGGGTTCAGGGATTGGGGTAGCAGCCTCAAAGAAGAAGCTCTAGGTTTGGGGGTGTGCAGATTTTGCTGTTGTGCTGTTGCTTAGGGTTGTGGGGTAGGTGTGTCATGTATGCTGCATTTGACATGGCCCAGGTTCACTTGAGGATAACACCCTAACTTGTATTGAAGTTCCTCGTAAATTTCAGGGGCGACGTTTCAGTCACTAAAGATCAGGAAAGTAAAATAGCGGCCTTAACAATGCAACGGTACTCTTCCTTAGGGTTTCTGATCCAAGTTCCCATGTTACAATACCACCCAGAACCTTTATTTCCAGTTATTAAGGCCGCCCACACCCCTTAGAACCCCGATGGAATCCTCTCAACGAAACCCTAGTCCAACTTATGGAGAGGGCTTTGGGGGAACTCCGGGCGGCGGTCTCCGAGTTCGACGATACGCTACCTCTCATGCTCTAGAAAGCCATAGGTCCTACACGTCAAAACCCGAAACCGCCCTAAACCCCTAAACCCCCAAACGCCTAAACCCTAATCCCTAAAAGCCCAAAAGACCCAAGCCCTGGAGCCGAATGCAGGGGCCTGAAAGTGAGGCTCGTTGTTCAGGCTTCTGTACTAAACGGTTTAGGGTTTAGGGTTTAGGGTTTAGGGTTTAGGCCCTTGTATCCCGAAATCCGCAAAAGCCAGTATAAAGGCTTAAACGGATTAGCTGCAGTGTTTCTTTTGCCAGGGCCACGAGTGCGCACAATTTCTTCGCGTAGATTTTGTGGCCGTCTCAATCCTAAACCCTAAACCGGCCATCTCAACATCAGGCTTTTGCAGCTCCCTATGTTTTCTTAAGGTTCCAGTGGACGGCAAGGGGCTTGGAGGGGTTGCATGGTGACCCGAAGGCTGTACAAGGACTCATATTTCAAGGCTTTTGGGCCCAAAGACCATACTATATACGGCTTTCGGGCTATTTTGAGCCATGCGGTCAGGGTTATTTGTTAAATCGTGTTCCATGTTTTCTTAGGGTTCCCTGATATAGTTATGCTACAATATACTGCTCAAACACTAGTCTAACTACTCAGGTCCCTATATCCCAAACGCCTATAGTACCCTCTAGACGAACCCGTTTCAAGGAACCCTGTTTAGAGGAATCTTGTTCTCTTTTAACCCTAAACCCCTAAACCCCTAAACCCTAAACCCTAAACCCTAAACCCTAACCCCTAAACCCTAAACCCTAAACCCTAACCCCTATAACCCCTATAACCCCTAACCCCTAAACCCTAAACCGTAAACCCTAAACCCTAAACCCTAAACCCTAACCCCTAAACCCTAAACCCTAAACCCCAGACCCTAAACCCTATAACCCCAAG